AACCTTGTGCTGCTGCGAGCGTCAACAACTCCGCTGCACATGCGTGAGTTCCATAGCGACTGGCACAACGGGAGCTTCAAAATACCCAGGTAGGTATGCTAGGAGGGCATCCCCCCTTTTGGGGGGTCACTGCAGTAGCCCCTGAGACTTGCATGCAAGCGCGGGGATGGGACGCATGTGACGGCATCAAAGAAAGGTCAGTCCTCGGACTCGGACGACGCAGCAGGCCAGACATTGCGCAAAATGGAGTTTGGCCGATGATGGATGGCCTGGTCCAGGGCTTTCGGCGATTTCACGCGGCGAAATGTCTCCATCTGTAGCATGTCAAATTAAAGTTGGCATATGTTGTCTGCAATTTCGGCACGCAGGCGCCAGTTCGTGCTGTGGCCGTTCACACTCCAAAAGCCACAACTGCACTGAAGCTTGCAGCGCCGCCTCCAAGTTGTAAAAGGGAGGCGAGCGCTCACAAAAGCCAGGTTGGGAGAGAAAACGAACAAACCAGGCGCACGGCATCAGGACCAGAAGCGGATGTTCGTAAACAAGGACGAAGAAGTTGTTAAGCTTGAAAGAAGCAAAGGAAAGAAAGGCTGTTTATGCTATGCTGTAGCAATTCTAGGTTTTGATGCTTCGACAAAAGGAAGAAAAGAGACAAATATAAGCTGGTTTGGTGTCAAACGACGAAACAAAAGCCCCCTAAAACACAGCCAAACGCCATCCACATGCTTTGCTCGAAATCTTTGATTTACTCCTCTTCAAGCCGAATCCGAATGCATCTGGAATCTAGGGTAAATGATCGTTTTCCCTCCGTAGAGATCTTGACTTCTTGGTTTCGCTTCCAAAAAAAAAAAAAAAAACAGACAAAAAGAAACCGACTCGGGACAATATCTTGTCCGTCGATTTGGTGCTAACCGATCGTCAACCCTGTCCATCACCTGATTCGACAAATGGGTTCGGTCGATACGGCTCGTGGGAGGGCCGACTGAAAGCTGAGATGGCATCATCGCCCCGTCAAGACGAGCTGACAAGCCGAGGATGTAGATGTCGGATTTCCCATGGGATAATGGCCGACATGCTTCCTGGATGGGCAGGTGTCTAGGTTGGTCGTGGCTAGTTGGCCGTAGGTACTGTTTAGAGGGGTCGCTCGTCCGCTGCTGATAATCCGCGAATCCGATTTGGGAGGGGTTTCAACGCTGCTCCCCGAGCCCACCTCGGCTTTGCTCTACCGCAATCCGAAAAACTCTGTTCTGGGGACAGAGGGGCCGCTCGAACGAGAGCGGACGAAACCGTGAGATTCGTGACTCGGGGATTGGCGGCGAGTCTGCTCACTACCCCGCGCTAGTCCTTCTTTTCCTCAGCCTTTTCCTCATACTTCTCCTCTTCGTCGCGAGTCTGTACTTTGATCCACTCCTTGGCCTCTGGCTCCCATTTGTGACTGTTGCAAAGGACAAGGTCAGTAAAGAGTTACCGTTTGCGGTATGACTGGGAATAGCAACGAGACAGCGGCGCCATAAACATACCCTAGCCACTCAGTGGTAACGAGCGACTTCATTCCGTACTCCTCAGTCAGGATCCTGTCGAAGCTGTACGGCACCGTGGCAGGGACACCCTCGAACTCGGACTCGCGCATGGGGTACAGGTCCCTAGTCCGGTACTTATGGTAGTTTTTGCAGCTCCAGATGCCGGGCTGCTTGGCGGGTTCGCGCTCGGCGAGACCTGTGATGTCAACGAACATGCCGTTGGAGATGTCGACCCAGCGCGCGTCGATGACGTTCATACCGTCACCGCGGTCGCGCTCGATGTGGTGGGGGTTGATGTCGAGCAGATACGTCTTATTGACGGTCTGGCCTGTGGTGTCGTCGACGTAAGAGTACTCGTGGGTGGTTCGGTTGTGGTGCTTGCCTAGGTAGTAGAGCGTGGCGCTCGAGACCTGGACGTCCAGGTCGTAGTCCCAGGGCATGATGCGCCCGTTCCACCACCAACCCAGCAGCGTTCCGTGCGCCAACCACGTCTCGATGCCGAGGTCGCGCGTGATGGTCAGGTAGCTCCGGATCAGATGCCGCAACACGGACCGGTGCTCCTCGTATGACACCTTCTCCTTGAAGTACCGGATGTCGTAATGGCCCAGAATCTCATCGCCGCCGGGCTCGTGGAAGTACTTGGTGTCTGGGGGTTCCTCCTCCTTCGGCTCCTGTTTTGGTGGCTGGGCTGCTGCCGGTGGCTGGGCCTTCTTCTCTTCCTCTGGCCTAGGGAGCGCTGCCGCGGCGCTGAATAGAGGGAGCAGCACAACTAGGCTCCGTAACAACCTCATTGTGGCGGTTGGGATGTGCGGGGGTGAAGAAAGGAGGGAAAGAGGGTTCTTGACTGTCCTCTTTACCTGCGCATAGAAGGTGGTAGGTCAGGCTGGAGGCGAGGCACGTGGACAGAGTCGACGGCTGCGGTGGTGGAAAACGGCAGTACCGAGGTCTGCTCAAAAGACAAGTGGCAGAAGCGTCAAGAGTAGGCGGCGAGGGCAGGCAGAGTCCAGGTTTCAGAGCCTGTCGAATTCTCCTTCTGGTGGTACGCGGCCACAACGACGAAGTGACGTTTTGATGAGGTTTGGTCGCAGATCGAAGTCGGACGAATCTTGGCGACAGTTGGACAACGAAGTGGACGAAGAGGTGTGTGGGAGGACAGGAAAAAAAAGTGCGGATGTAATTAGATAATCCAGTTGATATAATGGGAGCAAAGTAGGCCGACAAAAGGAGTGGGAGGGTAAGTGCCAGCAAGCCGGAGGACCCAAGGATTGACGACAAATATTAGGAAATAGAAAAGCCAAGAGGATAGTGGGCTTGAATATAGTGGTGGCTGCGCAGAACTCAGTCGATCTGGCGAGAGAGCAATGGCCTAAGTAGGTCGGTCGAGCGTGGTCGTCGTGGTCGTAGTCGTCGTGGTGCGTGCCTCGATAGGGATATGAGGTAGATCCGAACTCGCGTCCAGCTCAGGCGCCAGGACGTAGAAATCCGTTTGCTGTGGTTCCGCCTCTGCAGAGCAGCAAATCCCAATTCTTTTCCGAGCGGCGGCGGGTGAGAGAAGGAAAGCACGACTTCCTTCCAAACTGGGCGCAAACAGAAACGCCAAGACCCGTCTGAAGTCCTAGCTCGGCGGCATCAACAGTTTGGGGAAGGAGCAGAGAGGGCAGCCGCAAAAAAGCGAGGCGAGGAAGATAGCGGCATCGGGTATATGCATCCCAAAAGCCGCGAGGCGTGGTGGGCATGCCCTTTTTCCTTTTGAGGCCCGGCGCTCGACTGGCACGGAGACCTCGTCCATTCCGAAGCCCTCCCTCCTGGGCTCCTAGGCGGCTGACTTGCCCTAGCTCGCGCCACAGTACGACGGCGTACGTGTACCCCCCTCCCTAGGCCGTTAGGGGGGCAGGGATGGGCCTGGAGTCGGGCGACGAGATCCAGAGAGTACAGTGCGACTGGCCATCCTGATTTTCCGCCTGCTCTCACAGTGCTGGTCTTGGCTTGCATGGCCCCCGGCCCGTGTCTCGCTGCCACACTTGTGCACTGTGCTAAGAGTCTTGGACCGTCGCTACGGGCTGCGGGCTGGCTTGGCTGGCTTTTGCAGTTCTGTTACCGCTGTTCAGTGTTCAGTCTGGCAAGGTGAGTGCCACCATTGCGACACCGCACCATTGCACCCCCAGGTCCCAAAAGCCACAGGTCGCGCGTGTGCCTGGGCTGTACGCTGCTCTGTGGTCGCCCGAGGCCGGAGTACCTAGGACACGCGTTTCGCCCAGGCCCTCGTACTTCTGCCATCCAGCCCGCCTAGTTCAGCTGAGCTGAGCTGGCCGAGGGTTGGCGCATCGAGTAGCAACAGCACCGTCAAGATACATCAGCTCGGCCGAAAGCGGGGCTCTTTTTTTTCCATCTGCGGGAGACCATCCACCAATACCTGGATCCCCGATGACGTCCTATCCGTTGTCTGTCCCAGCGCAAATCCCATGCAGTTGATCTCCATCTTTTAACCCCCATCATTGATATACATTTACTGTGATGAGTGTGATGAGCCACCATGCCACGTACACTGGCGGGGGAGCTAACACTAGGCTGGCCATCTCAAACCCTCCCCACATGTTTGCCGCCCATGCCAAGCTTCAGCCTAACTCGGATCCGTCGCCCATCGCTTAGGATGCTAAAAAAAAAAAAATACCTTAAACTTTCCCAATCTTTATTCCCCTTTTTCGTGATGTCGTCAATGTAGTCTAGGGTAAATGTTTCCATGCGTTCCATCCACAATAAGATTCAACTTACTCGAGGTGAGCACGCAGGGAGGGATCTAGACAGATCCCGTATCCAAACTCCGACGGGCTGCCCTTTGGTCGGAATCCCATCGCTCGTTTGTGCTGGTCTGGCGCTTGGGGAACAGTCGGCACCTTCTGCACAGGCACAAACTCTGTCCACGCCGAAAATAGAGGTGGGAGTGGCCTGGACCTTGTTCCTGAAGCTGGACCCCATCCGTTCAATCAGAAAAGCGGAGCCCCGACGACCAAACGTGAATAAAGTTATCCTCCCCCTGCATCACGGGGCAGCTGTTCGACCGAACATGATGGGCCGAGCTGCCCAAGCGCTTTGCTGCAGCACGAGTAGCGCAGGTTCTAGACCATGCACCCGCAACCCAAGTCTGGCAGGTCCTGGCCCCACTGATCATTCCAACTGTCCGGTTTAAATAAGGACGGCAAAGGGACAATTGACATTGAACCAGAGAAGGAAGAAGGGCTGATCGGCCAAGCTGAGACGAACGATCAACGATCAACCATCAAGCAAGAAAAGTGGCAGGGCTAGACACGGAAATAAGGAGGATCAAAGGCAGAGGGCAGTCTGGATACTCCTCACTCCAGATTGTGATCGTGGCTGGAGCCTCGGCTCCTCGCCCAGGTTTGTGGGCTTTTTCATCTCTAGAAATCCATCAGCCCAACCCTTTCCATCCATGACGATATTTAACGGCACTGAAGGGGCTTGGCGGATTGCATTCTGGCACGCGGGCTGGCCGGAAGGAGGATAGGGCGGCGGGTATTACGCGTCTTGGCACGCCAAGCCACCACATAAACTTCTGACGCGGAAGCGATGGAACCCGCCATTCGAGCCGCTTCTGTCTCAGGAAAGATGCCGCGTTGCCGACTTGGCTGCGCCGACGGCGCGTGGAGCAGAACGAGACGGGCGATGCTGCGCATTGATAATTACTTGACAATGTCTGCATCGGCGTGCCTGTGGTTGGTGAGAGGGAGGTGGCTTTGCACCCTTTTGGGGACCATGCATTGAGGACTGAGAGCGAGCGATCCGACTGCCACACTCCCATTTCCATTTCCATTCCCACATCAGCACCTCCGTGCGCTCCCATTTCCATTTCCATTCCCACATCAGCACCTCCGTGCGCTCCCACATCCCGCCCCCCGGTTGTGGGCAAAGGTTCTGTGGTGCTGCTGACCGTCTGTGCCGTCCAATGGCACATTGGGTGCATGCTGCTATCGCTGTCGCTTTTTTTTTCTCCATCCATCCGTCACCCCTAGCCCGCGCACATGGGTCGACCGGGGTTCCCCTTGTTTTGGAGAGCACCAGATTTTAAACTTCTGTCATATTCTCCTATTTTTATGCTTAGGTGACTGTCACCCTTTCCAGCACATACGACATTCCCCGATCGACATGCAAGCGACTGTGGATAAAAAGGACGGGGGATGGGGTATTCAGGGGACGGATGGAGGAATGGAAATTGAGCGCATGTTTCGATACGGGCAAAACCCCGACTCAATTGGGCGAGGGAGCGACTCAAACACACCTCACCTTTGATATCTGCCTGCCCATACAAAGCCCGGGCCATCTGCAAGATAGGGAACGTCAGTCGTGATCCGTTTCGATCCTCTCACCCTGTTCTCTCTCTCTCTTCCTTGCATCCAATCAACATGCACCTTCACCCTGCAGCCGCGCCCACAGTGCGGACTGTTGGCGACGTGTGGCTGTCCACGCCATGTGGCCGCACCGGGCTGGCGTATTGTGTATATCACCGACTTGGCGCTGACTTTGTGTGCACGCTCACAGGCTGTGGTGAGACGACGTGGTGACGATGAGGGCGACGGGCATTGGGGCGCCTGCAGAATGTAAATGCCGGGGCCGGCCACAACCGGCCAACCGTGCTGGTTGCAAGCGGCTGCTTTTTTTCCTAGGTCTGATTCGATTCTGATTTCCTCATGGCGCATGCTTGGCCAACGTCATTCAATCAACTTGGCGCACCGCCACAACGCCCGATTGACCGCCCTACAATCTACAGAACAATCTCTCTCTCGATGAACCCGGACGACTGGGTTCTCCTGGACGGGGCACACGGGCACCTGCCATTGTCGGTATCCGGTCACACGAATTCTGCCATCTCTGGATCATCGTCTGGATCAACGGTGGGCTGCTGCAGGCAGAAGGTGGGCACGAGACAGACTGCCAATTGTTTGACTCTTGTCGATGCTGGCGGCACCTTCCAAGGCTGGGCACGCCCAAAATTGTGGGCTGCCAATGCTGCCGCCTTTTTGCAAAGATTGGATATCGAGAATTCTGCCCAAGCCGCCAAATCTCGGCACCCCTCCCCTTCGCCTTCGCCCTTTCTTCTCTGGCACCTCTGCGGCATGGTTGCCGGCGCTTTCGAAACATGTTCGAAATTGCTTCAATAACCCGGGCCTTGCAGAGAGCCCTGATGGACCCTCCCGCCTCCCTGGAAAGTTGGACCTGGGAGAGCGCCGCCGAGATGCCCGTCTGATCCACCGCTCGTTTATAACAGCCCAAACTTGGCACCGCTTTCCAGACGTGCCGGACCAGCCGCTGCCAAGCCTCGCCCGTCTGGCGTCCCACTTTTCCTTCCTTCCTTCTTCGTTCTCGCTCCCACGTTGGTTCATTGTCCAACGACGGCGTCATCGATGCAAACAAAAGCATGTTGTGCTTTCCACGAATGGGTCCTTCCAGCCCACTTGGCTTTCTTTGCCAACATGAGGGCCACACAAACACATCCTCACCTCTTCTCCCACCAAGTCGAGCAAGATTGCGTGGGTCGTGTTTGCGTCTTTTTTATCGTATTATTGACAAACCTGCTTGGGCGCATGCTTCCACCCATCGTTCTCGGTGGCTCGACATCCATGGAAAGATGTTCCTCATGAAGTTGGACATGCCGCGTTGCTGGGGGGTTCCCCCGTTAGCGGCTTGGCTTGGGGTCTTGGAGAGCAGGGACGAGGGAGCAGAAGCAGAAGACAGCGAACGGCCAAAAGCAATAGAACCGTAGCCACGGTCCCGTTGGACGGGGAATGCTACCCGCTCACACCTGCCGTGCCTGATAACCTCACGCCCACCCGCCGAGGGCGCTTGCTGGGCTTCACGCCGGCTCTTCCGAGGCACAATGCGGCGCAATGACACAGCGTCCCTGTGCCGCCCTGTCCGGCCTTTGGTTTTTGGAATGGGGCAAGATGTGATACTCCTGATCCGCTCTAATGCCGCTACCCTCTAAACAGTGCCGCCGCTACGTGGCTTGATATCCAATGATGCCCGGTGGCGTGCGCCGAGGGCGAAGGTCCTAATGCCATGTGCTCCCCTCCAAACACTGCTGGACGCCCGCCCAACTCCCGCCGTCCAACCGGCCACAAAAGCCGGACCCGGCGTGCCGAGAGGGGCCAAGGAACGAAAACTGTGGAAGCCACACCCACCTTCCCCCCCACCGCAGAACGAGATCCGCAACTAAATCAGGTTACCAGAAAAAGAAAGGAGAGTGGGAGAAATCAAGGGCAATGTAATGCCATCATCATGCACACACGACCTCCTTCCAATTCAAAAAAAAACCGGGATCGACCAACATCCTTCGATCGCGCACAGTGTCAACGGGCCTTGGCCATGATGCTTGGTTCTTCGTTGGAAGGGATGTTTTAGAGGAGATTGGGGGGGTGTATGATTGTGATAGCCACGGAAAGCGTAACCTCCCGCCGCCTCTCGCGCTCATCTTGCACACCGAACAAAAAGGGGGGCGTAACAAATGTCACGGGCACACTGTATATACTCGGCCCTTTGGCTCCGCAACCGCCAGCCAAGAATAACACTGTGGGCATTGGAGGCGCTTCTTGGCCGTTTGTTGTTGGTCTGTCGAGGGGGCGACCACAAAGCGGTGGCTGTGGCTTGCCCGGTGGGGAGAGGTGATGAGAAGTGTAGGATTCGCGCGGCCGCTTTCGTTTTGCCTTTTTTCTTTCTTGCTCTTACATACACCGGACAAGTGGTGGGCCATCTTGGTCATCATCGTGTTGCTCGAACGCCGTCGACGGCAAGCCATACCCAGAAAGGGGCTCCCCCGAGTCCGATAGTCAGGCCCAGAGAACGGGCCGTGGGGCCGTGGGAGAATAGTCTTGTTGATCTTGACTGTGAAAAACGGCGGTAAGCGCCTTAGTTCGCTTGAGTTGTTGAGCGAGGACCACACTGGCTCGAGAATCTTCAAGGCCACAAAAAAAAAAAAAGGCGAAGCAAACGCCAACTGCCAAGGTGCCTAGGCGCCGGAGGAGTCTTGGTATTCCTTTCGGAACGTCAAAAGCCCACTCAAGTGGTGGGCATTGAGGGTCAGAGCACCCGCAGACGCGTAATGCTGGGAAGGGAGAGACTGCAGCCTAGAGAAAGAGAGTCTTGGTATGCGTCCATCGCTACGACTCATTCGCTCGAGGTCCATCGAAAAGGACCAAGGCGGAGACGGGCGGAAGTTCATACAGCTTCTTTCTTTGTAACTGCCGTTGTGAGGGGCTGTCAGCTAAGGTCTTGCTATCAGGAAGAGGTCAGGTTGCGTCCTGGATCCATTTGTAATGACAACTGAGAGCGAGAGTGTGCCCTTGGTTGGCATCCACTTGCGTCCGAGGGAGCTCATGGAGGCTACGGGCGGCGGTGGTAGGGCGGCATTACCATTAGTGAGTCCCATGGTGGCGTAAAGCCCCAGCAATGTGGCAGCGTGCGGGTATAGTTGTCGATATTCTCTTGCTTCGGTCCTGGTCGTGTCTCTCTCTCCATTTGGTGCAGTCGGCCACCCCCATCGTTTTTGGTTAGCATAGGGGTATCAGATAAACCACCCTGGTGGACACGGCATGCCAGCCCATATTGAGACCGACAATGCCAGACAGAGCCAGGGCTGCGCTGGGCATGTGTGAAACGGGTCTTTGAGCTGGTATCGCCAGAGGGTCGCCGAGGGCCCTCCGTTGGGTCGTGGCCGAGAGGCGCCTGGCCTCTGCCTCCTCCCGAAAATCGCCTTCACAAGAGTGAGGGTTTCCCATCCTTTGAAGTAGTTCGGACTCCTATATATGCCGTCAGAGGGTGGCTCGATATATATGCTCAGAACACTCTTTCCATGTGAATGTTTACTCCAGCAATATCTTGGCCCGATTTAGACCCGTACCAAAACCCTTGTCTTTGGCTATTCTACTCAATCAACCCCATACCTCATCGCGCCGAAAGCCCTCCCTTCCGCCAAAGCAGCATAAAATCTCAACACCTCTTTCCCCTACCTAAGCCAAGAGCAGACTATTTATGGCAGAGTGTGCGAGGTGGTGTCACATGACACACCCACAAACGCTAGTATTTAGTCCTGGGATCGTTGGCTTCCTTTGCCGGCTTCCCCTCAATCCGACAGGTTGCACCTCCGACACAGAGTTCGTTTCTTTTGACAGCACAGTTTACTCGGAGGGCTCGCTGGGGCCAAAGAATATGCTGGCCGAATCCCAACACCCTCACAGGGCTGACCTTGACTGTCTTGCAAATCAGCCTGCGATGTGATCAATTTGACGTTTATCGGTCTAGAAGACGCCAATAACAGTACATATCTGTAGCGGAGAGTAGTCTAGCACTGCAACGCCAACTTGACACGCTCACTTAATTCAGTGTTCCAAGCTCCGCCATCCTGCCAAACCGCGTGTTCAAACGGCAGTCGGCGCCTGTATCCGGGAAAGCGGCTGCCGTGAGAGAGAAATCCTCGCTGGCAGCTGGATTACAGACAAGACCCGTCGAGCCTGATGGGCTTCGTTTGGGTAGGGCCCCGCGTATCCCAGCGGAAGCCTGCCGCCGCCTCGGGGAAGGAGAGGTTGCATCGGGTAGTTGTGGTCGAGTGGGATTCGACTGCGGGAGAAGAGGGAGGACCAGGAAAAGGCGATATCTATGACGCATCCATTTCGGGACCAATCCTCCAAAAATCCATAATGCATGATATATTCATCGCCATCGTAGCACAGACAGAAACGGACAGAAACTCAGCGGATAAAAGAAGCCCCCCAACCCCTTTCCAACCTTCCGCCCCCGAGTACCACCAGTCCACCCAGACCACCCCACATCAGACATCCGTGCTCCCCGGGTCCCGGCCCGTAAAGACCTTGTGCATGCGGCGACTGACGGCCTGGCCGACGGCGCAGTCCGAGGGCTCGCCATCGCGGTTGGCGCTCCGGGGCACGGCCTCGAGGGCCAGGGGCCCGGCCGCCTCGAGCCCCGCGACGAGCCGCGCGACGGTGGGGTAGCGGGCGGCGACGCCGTGGGCGATCGGGGCCGTGACGCGGACGATCTCCTGCAGCATGCGCGTGTACGTGTCGGCCGCGCCGTCGCCCGTGCGAACCTGGCCCGCGTCCATGCAGAAGGCGGCCCCGGCGTCGTTGGCGCGCTCGCGCGTGCGCTTGTAAGGGATCGTCGAGATGTGCTGGGTAAAGGCCACGATCCACTTTTGGGAGGAGGGGGGGGAGCAGGTTGCTCTTTTTGTTAGCATGCGAGAGAGAGATTGGTGGGAATAGGGGCTGAGTTAGCGGCAACTCACCTGGGCTGATTCGACGGGCACGGCAGTGTGGTGGATCAGCGCCCCGTGGACCACCTGCAGGCTCAGGAGCGCATCCTCGACCACGTCCTCGTCCACGTACTCGGGTGTTGATGCCGCCTTCTTGCGACGCCGTGAGCCCGTGCCTGTTTGCCCAGCCCGCTCCAGGGCGGCTGCTTCTGCAGCCGCGGCCGGCACGGCGTCGGCGAGACCGCGCACGGCGGCGGTGAACTGTCGGTTCCTAAGTGTGCGGTTCTTGCGCATCCAGACTACTAGTCCCTCAACCAGATAGATGAGCTTGCGCCCCGGGAACCGAGCCCGCATCTGCTCGACGTGGTCATCGAGGGTGGCGCCTTCTTGCTGACCGTCGGCAGCCTCGACGGCACCCTGTCCACGGCCCTGTGCCAGGCTCACCAGATCGGCGGCGGACAGGCGGACCAGGACGTGCTCCTCCTCCTCGATGCGCAACGGCGCCGGCTCCCAATGGCCCAGCTCGCTGTCGTATCTGCTCTTGACCTTGCGCCGCCAAGTCACGACATCATCGGCGAGGGAGTTCCCGCCTTCCTCCTGTGGGATGGTAGTGCACTCGACCTCAAGCTCGCCCAGAAGTGTCTCGACCTGAAGCTTGATCGTGGGGTTGAAGCCGGCCGGCAGGTCGACTATCATCTCTGGCGCCGAGTGCTTCTTGTCGGTTTTGGCCTTGTTGATCTCAGCGAGGGCCGCCGCCCGCATCTTCTCAGCCGCTTTCTCTGCACGCGCCTGTTCCTTCTCCAGCTTCTTGCGCTCCTTCTCGGCCTCTCTGGCCGCTGCTTTGTCTGCCTTTTCTGCGGCGCTCAGAACAACTGTGGCCGACGATGAGCCCGCTGCCTTGCTAGGCTTCGCCGCCGCCGCACGGGATGACGATGCGGCACCGGCGCTGGCTGTGGTGCCGGCTTTCCTCCGACCCCCTTTACTTGCAGTAGCAGAAGGACGCTCTGACCTTATCTTCGAAAAGTCCAGGTCTTCCACATCTGGGAGGGAGTCGTCCGACGCGAGCGTGCCCGCACTACCAGGCCTACTGCCGCCGCCCTCCCACTCAGAGGAGTCTAGTATGTCAATCACCTCGGACCTGGATCTTTCCATGCCCGTTTTGCGAGGCGCTCGGCGTGGCGAGACGGTGCCGAAACCGACACCCCGGGATTTGGATATAATCTCCTCAGGAGCAGAGCTAGACATTATAGGGTCCCAGGCAGCTGCAGGCTTCTGCCGCTTATTCTCTGCGGCGGCCGGAGGGGGCACTGCCCGAAGGGCAACGGGGCTAGCAAAGGGGTCGTCGTCGTCGTCGTCGTCCAGCAAGCTGAGGACAGGCGGCGCAGCATCCACCTTTCCCTTGTCTCCTCCGACCGCCAACATGGACGTCTTTCGAGTGCGAGCGCAGTCGTTCTCCTTCCGCCCCAACGTCACAGCCGCCGTCCGAGGTACAGCAGGGCTGCTACTGCTGGCAAAGGGGTCCTCAAACTCATCGTAGAGGCGGATGCGCGACGGTGGATGCGCCATCGTCGACGTTCCCTTTCCCCTGGCGGGCGCGCAGGCGTGGTCGGGAGAGCTCGAGTGCTGGATCGGATCTGCGGCCGAGTTCCAGCGCCTCACGCCGGATGGCTGCAGGACGCCGGGGCGGGCATGGAGCTTGCCGGCGGCTGCCGAATGCAAACGGCCGCCGTTCAGCTGACCCGCCGCTCTCCCGCTCCCATCTTCTCTGGCCCTCTCCGACGGCGCACCGCTCCCCACGGCGCGACCAGGGGAGAGCCGGGCTCGCTTGGCAGCCCGCTCGGCCGGGTCGGGCGTGGCAGCAACGACGCTAAAGTCCAAATCGCCCGTGGTGTCAAAGTCATCCGAGAGAAGATACAGGCCGCTGGGCGTGATGCCGCTCGCCGCGGGGTGGTCCCTCTTGGACCGGCCACTGCCATCGGCGGCCGGCGCATTGGTCGTCGTTGGCGCGGGGCGGGGAGAGTCGTCAGTCAGGTCGACAACGCCATGAACAGGCCGTGTGGCGGCCGGCCTGGCGAGTGTAGCTGTCGGTTTCCGTGACAGTGTTGGAGGGAGCAGGAGGGGTGATGAGGGCGGGCATGCGGGGCTGGAAAGGAGGTCAATGATGTCGGGCATGGTGCACCAAGTTGGAGCATAGCGCGGCCCTGCCGTCTTGGAAAGCCATCCGGGGAGGCAATGGGAAGCAATAGGAGGAATGCCCAGGTGGGTGGGTGACCTCGTCCAAAACCGAACAGTTTCGTTATCCTATCTTTCCGACCACCGCTGCCTGCGCTGTCTTTGCGACAAAGCCTGGTTAACCAAAAAGCACCCACGCGGATCCATGCGGTTCACGCGCCCCCGCCCCACATCGTTTGTCACGACTCTGGCGCGTCAGCCACGTGACGACGAGTCTTGTTTCTTTACTCATCAATCCCCGGCTGTATCAAATCACGACTCCTTCATCACAGCATTCAATAAAGAGGACACGTCCCGCTTCCCCCTGGTCTAGTGCGTGATGATCATTTTCCTGCAGCAGATCGCCGACATGGTTAGGAGCAGACACTTGCTTGTTCGCGTGCCCCCGCCATGTCCTTCTTCGTCTCCGAAACATGGCTCCAATCAGCGAGCGTCCTTGCCAACAGGGGGGGATTCGGCACAGCACTACATGTGGGTGTCAAACGTCTGCCTCCCTGTTTTTTGTTTTCTTCTTGCCAAAATGTCTCTCTCCCTCCCCTCCGACCACCTCCCCCTTCATCCCATTTGTTTCCCGCTCACCCATCCCAGCCGTGGATGTGATTATGGGCTCCTTGCCTCTGTTGCGACGACGTAATGCAACGCTAGGTGCCACGCACGGATGGCGACGTGCAGGAGCCCAGGCGACCGCCTACCCACCTGCCACTTCTACATACCCACTCGGTCGATTCCTTCTCTCACTACGCCGAGGATGCCACCGGGACGTGGGGTTCATCCATTTCTTTACGAGTAGATAGGGGAAATACCTCAAGTGCCGTGATCTAACCCGGGTGCTAAAAAGGGAAGACACAACAGGACAGGTTTGCGTTTTTTTTGTCCTGGTGGCAGTACAGTGCAGCTTCCCGGGAATAATCATGGTACTTGGTGTAGGGACCTTGGCTCAGCGGTTAGAATGAAGTCCGAGTATTACAAAACAAAACAACAAGGGAAGGTGAAGATAAAAATCAAGCCATCTCCTCACCGCACCCACTCAGATCTCGGTGTGTTATGGCCTAACTAGACGTGCCAGTCATGCCCAGGCAGTAACCATGGGTAGGATTGATGGATATGATTCTTTGGCAGGTGGCCGCCCTGCGGTACCGACGTGCGTATCGTTAGAGTGTGTTTGGCAGTGAAGATATATTCTAGGACAGATATATGTCCACCCCACAGTTGTAATCCGACTGACACGGTCTGGGTCGGACAATTCCTTCGTCCTTGCCTGGGCTCCTGTTTGATATCAACTTGATATTTTTCATATGCCAATCCCATTGTGCTCCTACGCAATAAACTTGGTAAGCCCACGACTTGGTTCCGCTATGCCAAGGCTCAAGAGCTGGTAGTTGTGCTGTAGCAAATACCTGTAGCAGCGTACCGTTCCCCGATACGAGCATTACGAACGTCCCTGCGTGCTTGTTTGTTCTAGCCGGTCTAGAGAGCGTGCGCCGCCAGGATACCCGTTCTTCTGCCTGGACCATGACAGCTTGCGCTGGCTGGGCTCGCCACCCCGGTCGGCGGCGGCGGCGGCGGCCGTGGCAGTCCGTCATCCGAGCGCGCGGGCGGGGGTTGAGACCAACCAGCACCTAGCACCGACCGGTCGCTATCAAAACTGGCCTCGAAGGAAAAATCAACAAGGAACATGAGCCGCGCACGACATCCGATTTTTTGGTCCATGCCCGGCTTTCCAAGCTAGACATTTCCAGCTGCCTCCCCAATTACGCAATGGACTGACTCGACGCCCACGCAACAGGGGAGAGGGGAACCATGTCGGGGGCGAGAAAAAAACGGCCCGTGGGAGCTTGGTGTGGTCAGGGCAGCAAGGGTGGCGATGTTGTTGATTGGGTTGGGTGAGGATAGAATTGCCGAGCTTTGGAGGAAAAGGGGAGTTTGACGCATGCAGGGTTGAAATTACCTACAGGTTTCTAGGTTCACAGGTAGGTCTCTACCCGTATGGGTTAAACATGGTAGCAAAATGCACAGTCCGCAACTCGGCCTCCGACTCGTGGTATTGGATTCTCGGTGTTAAAAGATATCGCTGCAAACATGTGCCGCATGGAGCAAGTAACAACCGCCACCAAAGGGCCGCCTAGAGCTGCCAGTAGGTGGGGTCGGGCGGTCAACGAGTTGAGAACTCGTGGCATGCTTGAGCAGAACAATAAAAAACAGGTGAAGTTGGTGATGTGGAGGCAGAGAAGCCGGGACGAAAGCGAATTGGATAAGGAGAGGGAGCTTTGTCGGTGTCGAAACAAACATGTCCGGCCTGATGGGATGAGATAAAGGGGTGGTTAAAATCCCGAATAGTCGGTTGGATTAAGCGCTTTTTCGGAGTGCGGTTGGAAAAATGGCGTATCTTGAGACGACTTTGCTCGTTTATTTTGGGTGTAAGCACCCGAAGTACACAGCCACACAATATGGACAAAACCTTTCTTTTCCCCAACGGCCCTTGCCGCCACAGAGAGGGCTTTGTTTCACCATGCAGGTTCGCCTGGGGCCGTGGAATCCTGTCGTGCCTGTCTTCCAAATACCCAGTCACGAGCCGGCCTGACCAGGCGAGAAGTTGAGACAAGGAGGAACACATGGCTGAAGTAGGCCCTGACAGCCCGCCACTCAGCCACCCGGCTTGGTAAGAGCAGTCCCCGACGTGAGGTTTCCGCAAAAGCCAGACGTTTATCTGAGACACATCGCCCCCCCGACCTTCGCCCCGCAGCCGACCCAAGATGATGCTCGACGGGAGGGCGGGGGTAGTCGAGATTTGATGCGTCATCAAGCGAACGGGCGGTCAAAGAGCAGCGAGGACGAAGAGTCACAAAGAATATCAAGACGATCGTCCCTTGATCCGTTTGAGAGCCGTCCGGGCCGGATCGGAAAATTGCGCCTTTGACTATGCTTCCGGCACCCTCCGATGATCCGTAGGAATTAGGCGGTGGTTAAGCGCGAACTGCCGGAGAAAATCCTAACGCCACGCCGCGACATCAAACAACCATCTCAGGGGTCGCGGGACGCTGGCTCCTGGACAGCATGTTGGTGGGCTGGATGCTACGTCGCACATAAACGGGCACGACCATGGGCGGCCCTGTGGAGAGGGACGGGGGAGAAGATTGAGCATTGAGCACCGCGAGTGGGCTCTGCTGACTGCCGACCGCTTGAAAAGGTTTGGAGCCAACCGAGCCTCAATCCCTCGGGTTTGTTTCCCCCTCCTCTTCGCCTTTCTATTCTTTGACAGTCTCGAGCGTTTCAAGCAAAAGATGGCCAAAAAGTCAGGTAGCGATCGAAGGGGCCTGGTCCATCCAGGTGGACCGCCCTTTCGGAAGGCGGCGCGCTTTTCAAGCGACCCACAGGCTTGAGAGCCGTTGTCAAAGCGCGAGCACTCCCATGTGATTCGCGGGCGATCTGCCACTCCGCTTGCGGTGGTGGTGGTGGTGGTGGTGGTGTGGCGGTTTGCCCATTTCTAGGAATAGCAACCCGCTCGCGGGCGAGCAATCACGGCACTGTGCTGTCATTATCCCTGCGTCTGCAGCTCTTGGTTTACGCATCTGTGCGTCTGGCGAGAGACGGGCGGGACGAGACTGGGACAGACAGACGCCACGCGGAAGCAACGGAAGAAACAGGTCAATGAGGTGGTGGGTGAAAATAGAAGCCGCGTAGGTACTAGTAGGTATGGAGATGAGATAGCTCTGACGCTGACCCTTTTAGAACTCACGTTCCTGCAGATGCGCGGCAAAAGGGAGGGGCGTCTGGACCAGAGTGGCGGGAGTTCCTCTTCGTTCTTTGTCAAGACTTTTTTTCCCTCCCGCCATTTGATTCTCGTGGAGTGCATGCATGTGGGTGGCTCTGTGGAGGTCCGGCGGGCTTGCACCATTGGGCCATCTGACCAGGTTGGTTAGGTGGTAGCACCCTACCCGAGCTACGTGTGCTGCGCCTATGGCGGGTGCGCAAGTGGCCGATGTGCTGAGAGCAACCTAGGAGGGCCTAGGTACTGATAGAGCCAGCACAAGCACATGCTGGATGTGATTTGATGCCACCCAGCGCGCGTCGCCCTAGACCCGAATTGGGTTTAAAGACCGTCGAGCGATGAGGCAACGGCTCGCAATTGGCCCGGGGGTCTCGGTGCGTGTGGATGAGGTGGATGCCCACGCAAAAGAGTCGTCCTCTTCTTTGCAGACTGCCTGCAGGAGGTCGTGCAGCCTTGACGGGGCAATGGTCATCTATCATTTGCTGCCTTCCCCCTGTGCGGGCAAATTTGCCGTCCCCCAGAGATATGCAGCACAGGAAGTGTGAGCTTTCGAGTTGCCGACTTGTGGCCGTCAAATTGCTTGGGATTCGTTGATGTCCGGATATGAAAGAATCGTGCGTGCCTGGGTGTAGAGGTGCCGTCAGGGAGCGATGCAAAACGTAAACGCACCACATCCATCGAAGACGCTCGCTATCGGCCACCCATCTCTAGATCAAATTCCACTGTAAGCAGGAGGACCATGACCCAGCCTCCGGCGAACGACCCACCACGCAGCCGTGCTTGTGGCCCCATCCCCACGCACCGGCTTGAGCTGGCCCACATCCCCTGGCGCTAGTGGGACCCTAGGTATTACACCCAAACAAGGTTAGGGTGTCGAATCGCTGTTGCAGCGAAGACCCCGAAAAACGCGGGCATAGACACCCGATGGATGTGTGTCCGAAGGGGACTGAAAGGAGAGAAGAAAAAAAAAGGAGAAGAAGGAAGAAGAAAAAGAAAAAGAAGAAAAGCAAGGGAAGCTAGGCAAACACTAGGTGCATCCGAAGAGCCAATCGCTGAACTCCCAACCTAACCTTCCATGGCATTGGCGCCAGCGAGCGCCCCTTTTGATTTTCTCCTTGGGTTCCCGGTTGGCCTTTCACTTTTTGATGTGCTCGCCTTGCCCGAGTTGGCCCGTTTTCATTGACCCTTGTGCCGCCGCTTTGGTGTGCAGGTTAATTCTCGCCTTGGCGATTACGTGCCGTAGTTTGCGTCTGCTGGTTTCTCCTCCCGTTCAATCGTGCTGGCCTTGTGGGTTGGGGTCTTGGACCGCCCGCCCTCAGCGACTGGCGACTGCCCCCATT